CCCTGCAGCCCTGGCAGGACACACATCGCCCGCCTCTCTCTGGAGGTGTTTCAGAGGTGTCTGGATGTGGCACTGGAGGATCTGGTTTAGGGGTTCCAGCAGTGACAGGATAAGGGTTGGACTTGCTGATCTTAGAGGTCTCCTCCAACCTTGATGATTATGATTCTATTTCTCTGCCCAAGCACTTGGCCAGACTCCACACTGAGGGAAATGGGAGGCCACCAGAGCCTCCATCCCTGGCTCTTACTCTTCACACACTTGCCTAGCCCAGCTCACATTTACAAGGATCAGAATGATCCTGGACTCCTTCAGTTTCCAGCCACCAGCACTGAATCCCAGGCAGGGATTCCTTGCTGGCCGGTTGGAGACCTGAGGAAGGTGATGGAAACCTCCCAGCAGGTTTTCCATGTGTGCACAGAAGCTGAGGTTGGCAGAGAGCTGCAATGAAAGGCAAACCTGGGCTGGTGAGCACTGGAAAGAGTTCAAAGTGAACTGATCCTCAGTTGTGTGTAAGGAAGAGTAAGACTCAAGGTTTTGTGCTCTCCTCACAGCCTCAATCCCTCCAGGGCCAACTGTGGAAAAGGAAGAAGGTTGTCCTAGGAAACAAGTCAGAGAGAGTTAAGATATGACATATTTATTTACACCAGAATCCCATTTACAGGCAGGACAGAGACTAAAGCTTCATTCTGACTTCCCATGGCCCTGGAGCTGTTCCTTTCTCCAGGCCAGAGCACACCTGGCACTGAGGGGGTGGAAGGAGTGAGCTCAGGACCTCAGTGGTCTAAAAGAAAGAGCAGGAAGGACAAGACATGAGGATTCTACATGTTGATTGAGATTTCACCTTCGATATGAGTCCAGAGGGCAGAAGTTACAGTGATGCCATGCCTGGGTTGGTCATACACACCTGGCAGGGGCAGTTTGCTGTGCTGCCCAGTTCAAACCCACCTGGAAGGCTAGTTCTCCAGGCTGCTCAAGTTCAATCCCACCTGGAAGGTGCAGTTTTGATGTGTTTTGCAGCCTCCAGGACCTCTCCTGCCTCTGCTCTGTCTGCTCTCATCCATCTCCATGCAGCTCATGGGGAGGATTGGTGAATCCTGACTCCTGGACAATAACTGGTCCTACAAATGCCCAACCCTGATCATCATTCAGCTATTGCAAAGGACACTGGACCGGTGTTTGCTCCTTCCAGGGTGGTGGGTGAACCCACAGCAAAATTGTCCCCGGAGGAGCTGCCCATGACCCCTCACCTGCCACAGGTCTGTGCCCTCACATCCTTCTCCCAGTGGATAACTCCCCCCATCCCCATCCATCACTCCTGGCTGTCAGGGGCTGTCAGAAACCTCCTGCCAAGGGACAATGGTCCTCATTCAGCCTGGAGAGTGATCAATGCCTTGTCCCAGCTGGAGACAAGGCTGGAAGAGGGAAGCTCTTTGTCCTGCCCCAAGGTCTTGGTCCAAGACTTCCTGATGTCCATGTGTGATGTTTTCCATGGCAATGCAAGAGGCCAAACTTCCTGCTCAGCCCCTTCCTTGCTCAGAGCATCCCTTGGGATCAGTGTCGTCTTGGGATCTCCAGCTGCTCCTGGTGGGTACCAACACAAGTTCTCCCTCCTGGGGTGCCACCGGGGACTCATTTGCAGACATATCTCTCCACCTGGCGCCGACACTTCCTGCACACCACGTGGCAGCACCAGTGGTACCTGCAGTGACACCTCTCCACCACCTCCTCCATGTAGGTGTTGTAGCCACGGCCACAGCACAGCAGGTCACAGCTGTCACTGCCCACTGAGGTCTTCTTGCACTGCCTGTGGAGATAGGAGGGTGTGGGAGCTGCGCACCATGGGGGTGGTGGTGGTCACAGCCTTCTGCCCTGGTCTCCTCCCAGACCTTCTTGCCCATAGCAGGAGGCAGTGGAATCATAGAAGCATGGAGTGGTTTGGGTTGGAAGGACCTTGAAGACCATCTCAATGCTCTCCATGGCTACAGGATGAGCTCCAAAATGTCCCTCTGGAACCAGATAGTCTTTAAGGTCCTTCCCAACCCAAACCACTCTGCGATTCCATGAAATCTGCCTTCCTGCCTTTCTTGGACCTTCCAGATGCAAAGGCTCCCCATGGTGTCCCATCTGAGAAGTGACAGCCCATCCACAGCAGCTCCCCAGGACATGTTCTCAACCCTGTCCTACAGACAGTCATGGAATTAGAGGCTGAGTTAGAGCTTCTTACCTGTCCTGTGTCCCCACAGAGCCCAGGAGGAGATTTGGGGTGCAGTAGTCAGGAGAGTTGATGAGATAGACCAGATCTGTCTCTGTCACTGGCCTGACATCCATGTCCTTGGGCACCAGCTGCTTCCTGGGCCCCACCAGCCGGTGGCTTACCTTGATGGCCACCAGGTACTTGGCCTTGAGCTCAGAGGCAATTTCTTCCAGGTTTGGCAGCCCCTTCCAGCAGGTCCTCACTGAGCAGGAGCCTGAAACACCATGGCACTTACACTTGGTGTCCAGGGAGTCACTCAGCACCTGCAGAGAACAGGAGAGTTGGATTCCTCCTGGTCCCCAACCCATGGATTGACCTGCAAGGGCATCCTCGTGATAATATGGGGCTAAAAATGTAGAGTATAAAAATGTATCCATCTCAGATCCATATCGGAGCCAGATTTGGATCTGTGCCCCTGACTCTCAGAGCTCTTCAATAAAAGCACCCATATAATCATTCAGTGATTATGTGTTTTCTACGCTAACACCTGGGGATTTCCAGGAGATGGAAGAGTTCAGATCTTTGTTGTCACCTTCAAATGGATATCATGGGGCAACCAGGGGCTCAGCTCTGCTTCAACCTTACTCCATGGTCCTTGGGGAAGGACCTGGAGGTTTCCCAAGCCTCACCTGAGGAGCAGAAGGGCACCAAAGCCCAAAAACCAGCTGGGCTGGAGAGCTCAGCTGGAGCAGGGCAGGACCAGACTCTGCTTCCAGTAGGAAGGGGGGGAAAAAAGCACTGGGAGTACTGGTGTGAGGTGTCAGATACCTCATGCTGGCGGTAGAGAGGGTGTGGGAGGTTTGGGGTGGGAAGCAGCAGGGGATGGATGCAAATGCATTTGTTAACCCTTTAGGTGCCTCCTGATATTTAGGGCAGCATCCCACCAGCCTGGCTGCATCTACTGCCTGGAATTGGGCACCTCTGCACACCCAGGATACCTTGAGATGTCCTGGGGACTCCATCCCCACCACTGAGACTGCTACAGTCCTGGAGGGCTCCTAACCCACCAGTGTGGTCTGGAGCAGTCCCAGTGGGCTCCATACTCACCAGTCCAGGCTGCCACAATCCTGGTGGGCTCCATACCCACCAGTGTGGCCTACAGCAGTCCCAGTGGGCTCCCCACCCCCAGCAGACTCCCTCAGCCTGGGGTGCTGGTACCCACCCTGCGTCCCATGACACTGTTGTGCAGGTTCATGGCCTTGAGCCTGCGTGTCCCTGACTTGCTGGACTTCCAGGAGCTGTCAGCAAAAGCAGCACCAAGCTGGAGGCCGTAGTGCAGGTTGTCTCCACAGCCACCCCACCTGGAGCCTGGGCTGGGCACCTCAGCAGGGATGGAGCTGCAGGAGCAGAGTGGGAGCTCCCCAGAGGCACAGGCTCGGGCGATGGAGTGGGCAACAGCAGCAGCAGCCAGGGCATACACAAAGGCTGCTTCCCGTGTTCCTGGGGACAACAGAGGAGATGTCCTTCCTCCCTGCCCACCCACACACTCCTCTCAACCGTCTCCCCGTGTAATTGAAGCGTTGGGTTGTTTCCTTGCATCAGGAGAAAGCTAAGGAGTTTGCTCGCACTGTGGTGTTAACCTGTGTGCTCATGTCCATGTGGTGCAGTCACCAGCTCTGGAGGTGTTTAAGATGTGTCTGGATCTGGTGCTGGAGGATGTGGTTTAGGGGTTCCAGCAGTGACAGGTTCATGGTTGGACTTGATGAGCTTAGAGGTTTTTTCCAGTCTTGATTGTTCTGATTCAATTTCCCTGTTGTGGTGTTGAGGCACTGGGATATTGCCCAGAGAGGTGGTGGAGTCACCATCCCTGGAGGTGTTTAAGATGTGTCTGGATCTGGTGCTGGAGGATGTGGTTTAGGGGTTCCAGCAGTGACAGGGTCATGGTTGGACTTGATGCTCTCAGAGGTCTCCCCCAGCCCTGATGATTCTATGACTCTATATACAGCCTGTTCCCACCTCTTCCCCCTTATTTTTGGAGCTGTTTGAAATGGAAGTTACTGTCTGTCACCTCCCACAGATGGAAGTAGCACAAGATTAACACCATGTAAAGGCAATAGATAGTTCCCAAACATCTCTCCAAGGCAGAACTGCCACAGAACAGCACTAAATCGGTGCCACCCTAGGATGGGGCAGAGCAGGAGGAGCATCCCTTACCTTTCAGCAGCTCAGGCCCAAAGCTGGGGGCACTCTGGATGGAGGAGCAGTTCCACCTCATGTCTGTGAAGGTGTGCTGGCAGATCCCCTGGGTGTGCTGGGCAGCACGGACGATGCTGGGCATCACCTCCACGTTCCGGCGGCACAGCTGGACCTGCTCTGGCACCAGCAGCCTGCAGTGCTGGCTCTCATTCCAGGCCACCCCCCTGGCACTCTCCAGCAACCCCCTGCGGGGATAAGAAGGGGTCAGGGGGGTGGAGACCATGGGCAACCCTTGGGCACCCAAGGAGAACCCCAAGGTCACTACCCACAGCCACTGGATGGCTGAGGAGAGACTCAGCTGGCAGAGCAGCGCCGTGGCAGCAGCTCTGGGGTGGCCCATGGCTAGGGTTGGGAGCAGGGATGGGGACTGGGATGCAGCTGGAGCTGCCCAGCGCAGCCAACCCCGTTAATAGCGGCGGTGCTGGGTCCTCCCCCCCGGGTCCTTCCCCCCCAGGGAGAGGAACAAAGGCAGTTTCGGTGCCATTCCCAGCGGGTTAGGGACACGGAGGGGGCGGAGGGAGGGCCAGAGACTGTTTGCAGCGATCAGCCCCAAAACAGCACCTGGGAGGGGTTAAGGGGTGAGCAGCTGTGGGATCTTCCTCCTGCACGGCCAAGGGCACAACTGACCGTGTGCCCAAGTGCCACATCCACATGGCTATGAAATCCCCCCAGGGATGAGACTGCAGCACTGCCCTGGGCAGCTGTGCAGGGCTGGACAGCCCTTTCCAGGAAGGAATTGTCCTGAATATCCAACTAAACCTCCTTTGGCACAACTTGAGACCATTTCTTCTATTGCTTGTAACTATAGAATCATAGATTTTAAGGATTGGAATGGAGCTCAGAGATCACCCAGCCCCAACCCCTGCCCTGGGCAGGGACACCTCCCACCAGAGCAGGTTGCTCAAGGCTCAGCCAACATGGCTGTGAACACTGCCAGGGTTGGGGCAGCCACAGCCTCCCTGGGCAACCTGGGACAGTGTCTCACCACCCTCACAGGAAAAACTTCTGCCTAACAGCTGACCTAATTTTCCCTTCTTCAATTTGTCCCCATTGCTCCTTGTCCTGTCCACCAGCACCCCCAGGTCCTTCCCACAGAGCTGCTCTCCAGCAGGTCAGTGCCAACCTGTGCTGGTGCTTGGGGTTATTCCTCCCCAGAGGCAGGACCTGCTCTTGCCCTGGTTGAACTTCGGAGGTGGCAGAAAGGAGACACCAGGAGCTGGTTGGGATGACCCTTCTATGGCTTCATGTGCCTGTCACAAGGTGTTTGAATCAATCCCTTCTGTAAGACAAAAACCAAAAGTGCTGCTTGGCACAGTCCAGACCTTGAGGAACCAGGTAGGCTGGTGGTTTCCCTCAGTGGGAGGTGACATTTGAGCCACCAGCCCAGCTGACAGCAGGTTCTTTTGGAAGCAGTTGGAGGTTGAAGGCCACTCTATGGGCTTTCACTTTCTCCCTGGCTGGGCAACTTCCTCTCTCACTGGGAGGTGCTTTCCCTGTCCAGGGCATGACTGGGTGGGTTAGTTGGCACCAACTCATGACCTCTGCCCATGAGAGGACATAGCTTGGTGGTTGGTTAGTGTCACCTCACTATCTCCCTTTGACTTGAGATCACATGCACTAAAATTGGATTGAATTGTTGCCCTTCCCAAACTATTCCCTTGGGATGAAAAGGCCAAGGTGCCTTGTGCTGGAGCACTGGGTCCTGGACAGAATCCTGCCAGGACAGCACTGAGGTCACTCCCAAATCCCAAGCAGAGTTGGAAAGGGATTGATTAAAGGGTAGAGGGAAAAGAAGGAGAACAAGGGCTAAGCCAAGTCTATACTCCCCAAACACCAAACCCTCTGTGTGGTTTGGCCCCAGGATGAGGACTAAGATAATTAGATAACAATAGGTTGTCCCTTTTGCTGGGATAACTGACTCCCTCAGGGCTCAGTGCTGGGGCCAACACTGTTCAACATCTTTGACAGGGAAGCTGCCAGGGGTGCACAGGACCCTTCTGTGTGACCTTGGTGCTGTCACCTCAGGGCTTGGGCTGAGGTTGGATCTTTGGCCATTTCTCACATTGTCCTGGTGAGGGACCATGGTCAGATTAGCCTCACACAGTGACAAAGCTCAGCTTCTACCTCTCTTGGCTCAGTTCACTCCTGCTGGTCCTCAGGTGTTCTGGAAATCCTTGGAATCCCTTCCCAAACATGTTTTTTGGAGATCCTTCTCTTCCCTTGACACACAGACACAATTGTCCACACTTCTCCCTCATGTCCCTCCAGCCCTGAGGACTTTGGTGTTATGAAATCAGAGTCTCTAAGTTCCCTTTTCAACCTCAGGCCCCCAGGGGATATTGGGGGGAAATCTCAGCACTTTTTGGAGGGATCAGGAATTTTCTGACCAGGAAAAGCTGCTCTTGGCAGCATTGGGAGGTGCCTGGGTGCTTTTGGGGGCATCATGTGCTCAGAGGGCAGAGGGTCACCCAGGACATGCCAGGCAGGAGGTGCCAAGGGAATCCTGAGTGTTGGGAGTGTCTAACTGGAGACCTCCTCCTTTAGGCTCCAGCCAGAGGGATGCAGGAGCTCCAGTAGCTTCCAGGCCCTCTGCCCTGGACTACTCTGTGGTGGATGGGTGTCCTGCCTGGAAGAGCTGCTTAGCTGCTGGTTGCTCCAGAGTGTTCCAGTGCCACATCTCTGCTGGGAGATGAGAGGTCTGGGTGGGAATGTGGCTCTGTTGGAGATACTCATCCTTCTGGGGTGATTTTCTGCCTGGAGCAGCCACACATGGCCCAAGGAAAAGGGACCACCAGCACAGACACACCCTAGGACACCAGTTTTGGTCCTCTGACCTCTTCTGAGTGAGACACCAAGGTGGGAAAAGCACAAGTCCACTCTGTGTGAAGGGAGGAAGGTCTGGGATTGCTACCCAGGGAAGGTTGTTCCTGTCTGTAGCAGCACTTAGCACCCCATGGGACACTTTCCTCCCCTCCTCTGGTCACTGACACCCCCAGACCCACCATGGTCAGTGCAGGCTGAGCTCAGGAGATGAACATCAGGGACACACAACCACCCTGGGGCACGTGGAGCTCAGTCCTGTCACTGCCCAGGCTGTCCCATCCACAGGTGGCTCTGAGAAGGGCCAGAATGGAGCTTGGAGCAACCTGGACTAGGGGAAAGTGTCCATACCCATGGCAGAAGGTGGAATGAGATGAGCTTTAAGGTCCTTCCAACCCAACCCATTCCATGCATCTAAGAGCTTCCCAACCCAACCCCTTCCATGAATTTAAGAGCTCCCCAACCCTATCCATTCCATGATTCTAAGAGCTTCCCAACCCAAAGAGCCCCAAGCCCTGCACAAGGAGGGACTCTGCTCTGTGTGGTGTCAGGCCCAGAAAGGAGAGGGAACATTGCCACTTTCTGGCTACTAGTTTGGCTCTTGAGAGCCACCACGTCCTCTCAGGTCCCTGGAGAAGCTGATTCCACCAGCTCCTGGTGCCAGCAAAGCTCACCTTGTGCTTCATCCCCCATCCAGGTAAGCTCCTCGAGGTGTGGGTGGTGTCTTGTTCTGGCACATGGAGGATCTCCAGGGGGTTGCTGTAGCCAGGATGTAGTAGGGTTGGATAGCAGCTGGAAGGCAGGAACATCTGGATTTGGGATCCCAGGAGATTCAGGAGCTGT